AAAAAAAGGAGCTGGTGAGATGACAGTGGACCTATAAGGTGTCTGCTGAGGGAGCCTGGCAACTTGAGGTAGCACCCAGAACCCACATGAAGGTGGGAGGTGAGAACGGGCCCACAGAGCTATCCTCTGGCCTCTACCCCCTACCCCCATCACATCATACAAACAATAGTAAATAAAATAATGTAAAATTTCATTAAAGATAGGGACTAGTGAGGTGACTTGACAGGTAAAGGGTAAAGGTCCTTAGGTGCTTGCTGCCAAGCCTGACCACTTGAGTTCAAACTCCAGAACCTACGTGGTGGATGGAAAGCCACTTCCACAAATTGTCCTCTAATATTAATTCATTTTTTTTGTAATCAGTCATATATGGTGGTGCCTGCCATTAATCCCAGCACTGGGGAGGCAGAGAGAAAAGGGTCTCAAATTCAAGTGTAGCCTGGGCTACATAATGCAGTTCTACCTTAGTTACATACCTAAGACTTGGTCTCAGAAAAGCCAGGGGCTACAACTGGTGCCTAGGGGCACATCCCTGCCTGGGATGCACAGGGTCTGGGCTTCCCTCTCAGCACTGAGAAACACACCCTTCAGTCCTTCCCATTGTGAATGAGACAGGGCCACTATGCAGCAGCAGAGTGAGGCAGTTTCCATATCCCTCACTGCTCTCTGCCAGCATCCTGAGAGCCCACCAGTCTGTGTTGCTCTGAACTGAGGTGTTCTGGTGTTTCCGTTATGGTTCTTTCAATGAGGGAAAATACATTCTGGAAAAGTGTAACAGCAATTTAATGTCTGGTGTGCATTGGTAGGGGTGTAGAGTTCATTACCCTTCACTTCCTGCTCTGCTCCTAGCCCTGTGGCTCCTAACTGTTTCTGTCTGGTAGTAACACACAGTGTCACATAAACAAGTTCCATGTGGGAATATTGAAAGCAGACACCTTGATGCTAGTGCGGGGCTTGAAAAGGAGACAGCAGTGGGTGTGCCATGGTCCTGTCCACCACTCAGCTTGGCCGGAATCAGAGCCCTGTGTTCCAGGTGCCATTGCTCTGATAGCTCCTCCTTTCTCGGCAGGAACTCCAGTGGAGTCTAAAAAATAGGAGGGAAGGGTGAGCTTGTAGATGTTCCCGGATGATCTACCTTTGCTTTCTTTTCTGCAGTGCAGGGCACAAAATCTAGTGCCAGCCGTGCACAGTCCTCATCCCAGCCTTGGTTTTCTGAGACAGGGTCTAGAAAGTGCCCCATGTCTGTAATGCCTGCTGAGGCCCAGGGGGCGGGGGGCGGGGCATTGGCTCCTCTGGAACTGGAGTTATAGATACTTGTTAGTCATTCTGTGGGTGCTGGGAACCAATCCTGGGTCCTCTGAAAGAGCTGCCAGTGCGCTAAATGCTGAGCCATCTCTCCAGCCCCCTAAAATACATGTTAAGAAAAAAACATTTTTTTTAAATGTGTATGAGTGTATTGCTTGCGTGCATGTAAGTGCACTTGTGCATGCAATATCCACAGAGGCCAGAGGAGGGTGTTGGAGCCCCTGGAACTGGAGTCAAGGACGGTTGTTAGCCACCAGGTGGGTGCTAAGAATCGAACTTGGGTCTTTCTGCAAGAACAGTCAGTGCTCTTAACCGCTGAGCCATTTCTTCAGCCCCCTAAAATACTTATTTTCAAGTGTTGAGAAGCACTGCTTTTGTTTGAAGGGTGAGCAATAGGACCTCATGTGGCACAGGCTGGCCTTGAGCTCTCTGTGTAGCCAACGAGGGCATTGGACTCCTGATCCTCCTGTCTCCTCCATAGTGCTGGGATTATAGGCATGTGCCGCCTCACTGCACTGCTGGCTTTGTTCTCACACATCTCAGAATGGGTAGGCCCAGGACTGCCCTCATTGTTTTCTCTCTGCCTCCACAGGAAGGAAGAGAGAGTGGTTTAAAATAGAAGATGCCATAAAAGTGCTACAGTGTCACAAGCCTGTGCAGGCTTCATACTTTGAGACGCTGAGGCAAGGCTACTCCGCCAACAATGGCAACCCCATCGTGCCCACCACATACTCCAGTTCCAGGTCAGGCGTCAGATGACTGCAGACTTCCTGTAGGAGTGGAGCATGGACACCAGACTGAAGCTCCCCCTCACCCCCTCGCCCTCCTCACGGCCCCTCTTCACCTGAGCATGGTGGGCAGCAGAGAGGGCGAGCTGAGGCATCGCTGTGGGTATGGAGTGACGTGGGCGGGTGTGTTGTGGTGGGGCTTTTTTTCCTTTTCCTGAGGGTGGGGGCCGGGGTGGAATTCCCGTACTTTCTGCATGCTCCATCTCCCTTGCTGTGCCTGCCGTCCGAGGACCCTGCTTCCCTCTTGTTGTGAAGTGCCCTGTTCATCGCACCCCAGCCCTGGCCAGACATTTTCTCTTTTTAAATTTTTTTTCATTAAAAGGTACCTATGTGAGATGGAACTTTTTAAGAATCTGTCCTGTAATATGCCTTTGAGTCCAGTAGATTGGTCACTTGCCCCGCAGGATCCATTTATCTACACATTATACTGGACATATAATCTGTAAATAAATGGCTCTTAGAGGAGCATGACTGCTTACTTTTTAGGGTTCTCGTTTGTTTTTATCCTGGGTGTTTCTGATCTGGAGACCCTGTTACTTACATTTTTGTTTTGATGCTAGTGGCTCAGCACGCTTCCTTGTTCTCTCCCACTGGCCACGGGCTGTCGTTCCAGAGGGTGCGAGGAGAGCCTTCCTAGGGCTCCCAGGTCTCCTGCCTTCTCTAAGCTGGGTTTGCATGCCAAGGAGAAACAGGAAGGAACCTGTTTTCTGTTACCAAGCCAGGAGCAAATGGCCTCAGCCCAGATCCGGAGACACAGTGACAGAAATTTTATTCTGCCCTATATGTTAATAATAGGGTTTAAACTGGATACTTTGTCTCAAAAACTGGACCATCAGACATCATTTCTATCCTGCTGCCTGGGAATCCTTTCCATAACGCTGTTTCTTGCTGACATGGCCTCTCTGCCCATGTATGCTTTATGCTGTGCTGACCTGGACATGGTCCTGTGTTCTGAAACTGTATGCACAGCCCTGTCCCTGTGCTGGGTAAACCTATTGAGGCTCTGAGGATAATACTGGGGAAGTGTCTTGTCTCTGTGATGTCAGAGCACGTGCAGAGGGCTGCACCTGGAGCATTTGTCAGCTCACTCTCCACCTGGGTGTGAGAAGACATCTGGGAGAGGACCCGCTTGTAACACAGCAGCTGCTATAGGCTATCCTATGGGTGTTTCACACAAGCCTTGTGCTGAACCCATCTGCCAGTTATGTTTAGTTGGGAAGTAAAAAAGTCTTGGTAAGTGTCATGAGTTGGGAGGAGAAGAGGGGACACTGCTCACTGGCTTAGCACAGGAGAGGGAGACCTTTGTGGCATCTCCTGTGTTGAAACGTAGCCAAGATGTGAACTTTAAGTAGTACATCTCTTAATTTAAAAATTCTAATAAATACTCAAACCTTGAAAAGAATTTGCTCTTCCCTCCCACTGAAAGGAATGTGTATGTGGAGACCTGTGTTGCTCAGCGCTCGACGGTCTGGGGCATCAGTTGGTGAGCTCTAAATGTTGCCCCCTCTCCAGTCTTCATTCTGTCTCCCAGTGTTGAAACGTAGACAAATCCAGTGGGGTTTTCTAGGGCGCTACCATGCTTCTGGGTCAGAACTGGTGCCCAGAAGGTGGGGGACAGCCCACGGGGTTCTAGTCCAGAGGCCGACTTGCTTTCAGGTCCTGTTTGTAAACATACTGCTTCTTGTTATCCGACTTGGAGCATTCTGAAGTCCAAACACACAGAGGAAAATGAGTTCAAAGCCACATCCTCCCAGACAAGCTGTACCTTTATGGCCCAGCCCACCTTGCTGGGAAACCCAGTGCTCCTGGGAGGGGAAGTGCCAGTGGACCACTGCCTTCTCAGCGCTCTGCAGGTGTGCTGATGAGCTGGCGTTTGATATCCTGCCCCAAAGATCAGTTTTGATTGTTGTTGGAGTCTTTGGATCAAGAAAGTAAACTGTGCCGAGAAGTCCTTTGCAATGGCGTTAGTGCTCTTAGCTGGAAAGATGGGGCGCCAGCTCTGTCCGGGGCCACCATCAGTAATCTGGTGCCAGCCTCTGCTCTGAGGAGCGACCTGGTATTTTTCCCTCCTGGCACCGGCAGCATGATGTGTGGTTGATGTCCCTTTGTGTTAGATTGCTTGACTCCCAGTCTCTTTAAGGGAAGTCAGAGGAACAAGCAAACTAAGAACCTACCCTGCATGCAGACTGCCTCCTTGACAATGAGTCGCTGCTGCTCTCCCATGCTTGCTGTCAGCCTTGTTGGACCCGGGTTCCCACGTCTAGCCTCTGCATTTCCCAGGTGCTGGTTGCTTCTCAAAAATCTATCAGAGTCCACAGTACTCAGCATAGACCAAGACAGCATTAGACATCCTTACATTTTTTAAAAATTGAGTTGTTTCTTTGTTTATAGATTGTAGACTTTGGGGAGACACCAGTGAGGTCATATGACCTTTTGGACCATGATCTGCTCTGTGCATGCATGAGGTATAAGTGAGAAGCTAGGCATAGTTTAATACCACAGCAGTGCCTACAATCTAAGGATTGGGAGGCTGAAGCAGGAGAGTTGCTGCATGTTAAAGGCCAGCCTGGACTACATAGTGAATCTCTTTCTCAAAAAAGAAAAAACAACAGACCAGGAAAAAAGGGGGGAGAAAAATACTACTAGGATCGACTGTGTTTGATTTTCTGTGGCTGCCCAGAAACAGCACAGTCACCATACTGGGGTCCTGATTCATAGGAAGCATAGAGGCTGGGATGGTGGATCCACATGGTTTGTTTCCACACATGTGCTCCAGTCCTCTCCAGTCTGCATGGAGAAGGCTCCCTTGCTGCCTTGTGTGGCTGAGCCAAGGCTGGATCAAAGGCCATGGGATGTCATACACATATCCTTCAGGCCACTGGAGGCCTAGAGTCTGGGCACAGCAGGACTTCCGCTCTGTGCCTTAATGCTGCACAGTCCCTGGATCATATCTTGCAGGCGCACTAGCAGCCTCACTTCCTGCAGTCTCTGGGGAGCAGGGTATGTCTGCCTCTTGGGAGTGGTTCGAAGTATTTTGTAAACGTTGCTACATGGTGAGGTTCCTTTGGTGGCAAAGAAATAACTTTCTGTTTGGATGCTAGGTGTAAGGTCCCTTAGAAGGTGAAGGCAGCTCCAAGCAGGTTTGAAAGAAGTTCTGTGTGAACTGTGCTTACTCCTTTTGCCCCTGGCCTCTCCGCATGCCAGGCCCCTTTGGAGGCTGCTGTGGACTTCTGGAACCACGGGTGGGTTGGGCTTTTGTTTGGGTCACTGTCCTCCTTTGTCACTCCCACCCAGTGCTGGCCTACACCTTCGTCAGAGACCCCGTCTTCATCATTTTCAAGAGTAGCTCAACCTGGGCCATGTTCTCCCTCTTGGGTCACAAGGGTGACCACATTGTGAATCTTGCTGTCTGCTTTTGCTATGTCTGAAGTGTACTCTATGCACATAGGTGAGATTGAGTCTAGAATTAAGGGGGAAATGATTCTTCTGCTTCAAGAGAAAGGGAGTTGACTGTAATGCAGTTTCGTTGTGGGCCTGTCTGCATCTCAGATAGAAGCTCACATCTTCCCAGAAAGGGGCAGCAAGACAAGCCATTTGGCAGCCGCTGTTCTCCACTGCCCGGGGCAGGGCTGGCCTCTCTTCTGTGATGTTGTGTGGAGCCTATTTGGAGCTTGTTTCCTTTGGACTGTTGAGCTGCCCAGTAGTGATATTGCCCTCCCAACCCCCATCACTTGGAGTGGACAGGAAGGGACCTAACATCAACTTCTGACCTCAGTGCCCAGGGGAGCTGCGTCTTCCACGGCTCTGTAGTTGTCATTTAAAGCAGTGAATGAGAGATTTTGAGGTAGAAAGTACAGTGGGAGCATCGACCGCCATCGTGGAAGTTCCTGTGTTCCTGTTGATGTGAGCCACCCAGGTTCCTGGAGCCTCCCAGCCCTACCGATCAACGATTTTTGCATCAGCCCCTGAAACTTGTACTTGGAGGGTCCTGAGAAGCCTGATCAGGGGTCTGAGGAAGTGTCCTTTCTCACCATCACAGTGATTGACTAGCCTGTCTGCCCAGCCCTTTTTTTTTTCCCTGGCCTTTTTGAGACAGAGTCTCCCTATAGCCCCAGCTGGCCTGGAACTCACTACGTAGACCAGGCTGGCCTTGATCTCACAGAGATCTGCCTGTGGATCATGCCCAGCTTCCCAGCCCTTTTAAAATTGGGATATTGGGACATACATCTTGAACTGAGGCCAACAGTTACATGATTTTGGCAATCTCCAGCATGTAACTTTTGAAGTAAGAACCACACCTCTCCCTGAAACCCAGAGCCTAATGAGGATTTCATAAGCTTGTCTTAGAAATTGGGACTGCCTCCTGGGAAGGGGAGCCCAAAGGGAAGGCTGTTCTGAGTTCAGAGACCAGAGGGGCTGTGCTGGGGAGAAGGCCCTGGTAAGCTGGCCCTTCAGAAGACGGTGGCATCTTGTCCCGTCTTTTTTCAGTGGTCAGTTGTATCACTCCAGGTTTTCTGTAAGAATAGGTTTGAACTGCAACACTTCTTTAACTTTAAAACCCAGAATATTGGGTTTACAGGCTGCAGAGACAGCAGCAGCATTTTGCCAGGTTTTTAGTCTTCCAATGGTCTGCTGGCCTTACAGGACCTCCCCCAAGTGCTGGGCAGCTCAGGACTCCACTGTGGCTACTCGGGAGAATGTTGGTGCATCCCAGCACTCTGTGAAGGCTCTCCAGGTGTGAAAAATTCCAAAATAGGAAGGGGCCTTTTAACTTCTTAGGGGAAGTCACGATGCCTCAATGCCTCTGTCTGACTGTTGGGCCTTAAGACTCTGGTCTGTGGGTGCCCTCTCTGGGAGTCATTCTGCCTGGGACATAGCCTGCAAATTCCTGCCAGCCGTGTCTTGATTCCAGTTGTCTTCCCAGCACTTTTGCCTGAATTGAAAGCATTCCCCTAAACCAGTGATGGCTCAGTAGCTTCTCTCCCACCACAGTGTTCACTGAAAAAAGGCTTGTCCAGCCCAACCCTTGGTTTTCAGCCCTCTCCTGTGACAGAGAAAATGTGTCACTGAGTGGTCCGGAGGACAGCTAGTTTGGGTCACTCTTTCCCTACAACTTAACAGACTTGACTTTGACAGAGGAAGGTCAAGACTGTTGTAGAGACCCAGGAATAGGACAGGACCACCCACGAGCAGGTCTGAGGTGAGGCTTGAGGGAACTCTTGAAGTGCAGGCAGGACCAGGGGCCTTTCCATGGAGAGCAAGAGGCCGTGTCCTCCCAAGACAGAAGGACAGCAGAAGGGAGGGCTGGGCCTCTGAGCTCCAGCCCCCAGACGGAATCCACATCTGTGGTGCTGAGCATTGTTCCTCAGAACTTTCCAAGGGGACTGTGTCTTCCAAAATCTTACCTTCAGGCCACGGTAGCTCATAGCAACATAGGTTCACTGTGCAGAGTGCCAGGACCACAGTGTGGCAATTAGTAGTTACAAATCAGCTGGTCCAGTCTGTTATAAAAGGAGTAGTATGTGTTGTCTTTGTTTAAAGGAAGTCAGGAGCCCTTGAAGATGCTAGGACATGAAAGCACAGCACTGTCTGCCTGCTTGGGAGAGACAGGAGCTAGGCCTCGGGGGCATCCTCTCCCTGCTTTGCCAGCCCCACCTGCTTCTTGGACCCTATCTTCACTCTGTATAGAACTCAGTGCGAGATGGGCACTGAGGGGCGGCCAGGCCCTGGCTATAGGATGTGTTCTCTGGTATGGCTCTGTAGGGCCACCTCCCCTTCCTTACCCTGCTCCACATAGCAGTGGGGTGATCCCTCCATTAAAGGTTCCCCAGATGGACTTCACCCCTGTGATAGGTGTCCTGTCCGCACATGGTCTCCTCGTCCAGCAAGTCCACCAGATGGGGGCAAAGTAGCTGAGATGTGCTGGGTATAACTTTCATCTTCAGACATTTTAGATGAAGTGAAATGGTCAAATCTAGAAATGTCTCCAGAGCTGAAGCAGAGCCCAGGCCCAGGCGCCCAGGGTCTCATAGTTGTAGAGGTGCACAGTGGCACAGCTGACAGACCCCATGTTCTCTGCAGAAGGTGCAGGAATGGTGCCAAATGAGCTGGACAGGACATTCTACGGAATGGCCCTTGGGGGGAAGGGAGGGGTGGTGCAGTCTTCAACCTCTTGGCACGAGGTAATCAAGTAGGAATTCAGGGTGATAGTACCCTTCTTCTGGTGGCATGTGGTCCTAGTTCCCATTTCTCCCCCAACAGCCTTGCCTGGCACTGCGTGGAAAGTCAAGCATTTCTTGCTGTTCTCGGCCACCAGCCCGGCCTGGCCCCTCTCCGGGTGTCCTCACACTCTGCTGAGGAGGTCCTGGCAGTGCTCTTGAGCAATAGGAGAAATGGAATTTGCTCCTGAAAAAGCAGAAGGAAGTGGAGTTTTCCTGTTAGCTTTTCTCAGGGCAGTACTCACGTGTGCCGCCCCCCCCCCACCTTTCCCACAGCTGTAGACGAGGGTGGAGAGGAAAGGCTTGGCCTTAGACAGGAAGACAGCAGGTGCCATCATGGCCCCCCCTTACAGCAGCCATCAGGAGCCATCCCCCCACCCCATGAGTCTCATGCTAACACAGACCCTCATGTACGTAGGCCAGCAGCCAAGACAGCCAGCCTCTGCCATGGTCCAGAGAGCATTTTGGCACGTGTACATCCTCCCTCTCCCACAGCCCACCTCTGTACAAACAAACCCTAACCCTGTGAGTGTTGTCCTTTCTGTGTGCTAGTCAGTGGGAAGGGCCCTGGAGCTATAGATTGTAATCTGTTGCCAACCAATAAAACCAGTATTTCACACACCTGTCAGCGCCTGGTCTCTTCTTTCCAGAGGTTACCTGTAGTCTTTCATATCAGTCCTTTTGAAATTTTTTTTTTTTTTTTTTTTTTTTTTTTTTTTTTTTAAACCAGCTGGCCTGGAACTTGCTATGTAGACCGGGCTGGCCTCGATTGTACAGCTGTCCTGGAACTCACTCACTATGTAGACCAGGCTGGCCTACAGCTCACAAAGATCCTCCTGCCTCTGCCTCCCAAGTGGTGGGATTAACGGAGTGCGCCACCACGCCCAGCCTTGAAATTTTTATTTAAGCGCTGGAGAGATGGCTCGGGGGTTAAGAACACTGAGTGCTCTTGTAGAGAACCATGGTTTTAAATCCCAGTAGCCACATGGCGGCTCACAACCATCAGTGACCAAGGAAATCCGACACCCTCTTCTGGCATCTGTGGACATTGCAACACATGCAAAACGAGGCATGCTTACATGCAGGCAAAATACTCATAAAATAAAAATAAAGAATTCTTATGTGGCTGTGAAGGGAGGGCGTGCACATCCATGCATGTCATGGTGTACATGTCACAGTGTATGTGTCACAGTGTGTGTGTCATAGTGTACGTGTGGAAGCCAGAGGACAGCCTTGTGGTCAGTTCTTTCCACCTTTTTGTGGGTTCTAGGGATTGAGCTTGGGTTGCCAGACTTGAACAGCAAGCATTTTACCCACTAAGCCATTGAATCTGCTCCATCTTTTGATATCGTGATACACATGCACACGCCTTTGCTGGGTTCTTGGGAATGGTTCTGAAGGTCAAAGGCCTGATGAAATATTTGTCAAGATTTGCCTTTCAGGGAACTGAAACAAAGATTGCAGGGCAGCCAGAGGATAAACATTTTGTTTCCTCCTGTCCACACTTGCAGGCTGGGAGCACCAGGGGTAGGCCATGCCCTGTGCTGAGGAGGGCCTCCCCAACCCCAGCCAGGAGCTGAGCCATGGACAGGACAGAGGCATAGCTAGAGTAGACAGGCTGGAGTTGAAAGGACAGGAAGTTGGGGAACAGGTGGGTGGCATCATCAAGGACATAGCATTCAGCAAGCTGTTGTCCCTGTAGCCCCAAAATGGAAAGATAAGCTCTATTGTTTGTTTGCTTGACATAGGGTCTCACTGCCTAACCCTGGCTGCCCTCAAACACAGAGGTCCTCTTGCCTCTGCCTCTCATATTCCAGGATTAGAGGTGTGTACTAGCGTACCCGGCTTGAAGAGTTTTCAAGGCTGTGTGGACTCACAGAGAGGGCCTGGGAATGGGAGGGGAGGAAAGCAGGAATAAACTGCATGTCACAGTCAGATAAACATGGTCCTCACCCAGCATTGGCTGGCTTGCCACGGTGGGAACACCAGTCAGGTTTCCTGAGCCAAAAAACCTGTTGTGGTCAGTGCAAGAGAGCAGCTTCCAGGACAAGAGTCACAAGAACCTAGCACAGACTAATGTGTGCCCAGTGGGTGGCGACTCATTTGGGTGTGACGTCAAACCTGGTTACTTGGTTGGCACAGCACTGTAGCTGAAAGGTGAGTCCAGAGTCAAGCTATTAACTTCAGCACAGGACAGAGGACTGTGTTCTGATCCTATGTGCCTCTTTTGTCTCATGATGGTCACCTTCCTCCTCTGTTTTTTATTTTTTGTGTGTCTGCGCTGGGGCACACGTAGAGGCCAGAAGTTGACATCGGATGTCCAACACGTGCCACATTCAATTTTTTTTTTTTTTTTTTTTTTGGTCTTTTTGAGACAGGGTCTCCCTGTAGCCCCAGCTGTCCTGGAACTATGTAGACCAGGCTGGCCTTGAACTCACAGAGATCCACCTGCCTCTGCCTCCTGCCTCCCAAGTGCTGGGATTAAAGGCGTGCACAACCATGCCCGGCTTTAATTTTTATGTGTATGAGTGTATTGCCTGCATGTATGTAAGTGTACCCATGTTGTGCAGTGCTGGCAGAGGTCAGAAGAGGGCCTCAGATCCTCTGAAACTGGGTTTATAGATGATTGTTGGCTGCCATGTGGGTTCTGGGAACCAAACCTGGGTCCTCTGCAAGAGCAGCCAGTGCTCTTGACCACTGAGCCAGCTCTCCAGCCTCTTCTACCTTATTTTTTGAGACAGCCTCTCACTGAACCTAGAACACACTGGTTCAAGCTAGACTAACTGCCCAGCAAGCCCCTGTCTCTGCCTCCCCAGAACTGAGATCACAGGCATACACCACTGCACCCAGCTTTTACCTGGGAGTTGGGGATCGAACGGGTTCTCCTGCAAACACTCCCAACTCTGCCATCTCCCCAATGCCTATTTTTGAGGCACAGGATCCTGTTGTATGACCTAGGCTGTCCTCAATCTTACAATCCTCCTGCTTCCTTAGCAGCTGGGTTTGCAGATGCCCTCCACACACCCTGCTCCCCAACCCCGACTCCTGTCCCTCCAACACCCTTCTCCTCTCCCCCTTCTTCTCCCCCCCCACACACCCTGATCCTCTCCTATCAAAGGATCTCTCTTTCATTTACCAGAGTCTGCAGGTTGAGCCTGGGTGTGGAAATAGTGATAACTGCCCTCCCCTAGTCAGGACTTGGGTTCTGAAGATGCCCAGTAACCCACATCAGATGACTGGGAGTCAGTAGACGTAGATAGGTGACACCATCCTGTCATGTTGGTTGCTCAGGTCCATATCAGGTAAATGCAAAGTATGGGATAATCTTTCTGTAGATTGACCTTCTAGCAACTTCCAGGACTTGTATCTAGACAAAAGAGAAACCTAAAAAGGCCACCAAAAATTTGGGCTTGGGTGATGAGGAAGTCAGCCCCAGAGACACCTGTGCATTTCCTGACACCAAGGGCAGACACTGCAGGGCTGCCACTCTGTGCAATCCCCAGAGATCTGATCACTGTGCCCAAAAAGGCCTGGTGTTAAAAGGCCTGGCCTTTCTGCTTTCAGGCTGCTTTGGGGTGTGAAGGGTTGATTTTCTTGCCTTGGTCTTGTGATACCTCCCCCCCCCCCCCCGCAGCTAATTCCTAAGCATTCGAGGACATGGCTATGAGGCTCCATGCTCTGTTCCCTGAATACCAGTTAAACCTGGAACACATGGACACCTGCTTGGTGACAGATGGTGTGAAATGGAAGAGGTGACAGTCTGGAGAGGGTTAGCCAAGGGAGGCGGGGCAGGACAGGAGGTGTAGGGAAGGAGCCTGAGGGGGACAGGACAGTGACATTCACCCAGGCTGCCTGATGTGGAGGAAGTTGTGGACGCAGGAGCTCTGGCTGTTGACAGCTTCTGTGATCTTGGACAGTTTACCATCCTCAATCACTGTGTTAAATAAGCCAAAAGTGTATGGCACCAGAGCCGAGCGCACTTACTAAATAGTCACTGCAGACCTAACCTGTGACATGACAAGTGATACATACAGTAATCCAGGAAGCTGTGCCTGGTGGAGCAGACCTGTAACTCCAGCTGCTCAGAAAACCCAAGCAGAATGACTGAAAGTTTAAGGGGAGTTTACTAATGACTTCAAGGCAACTTAGTAAGACCCTGTCTCAAAAATTAAAAAGAGGGCTGGCAAGATGGTTCAGCCAGTAAAGACTCCTGTCACCAAGGCTGACAACCTGAGTTTGATCCCTGAGACCCACACAGTGGAAGGGAGAACTCACTCCCACAAGTTGTCCTCTGACCTCCACACGCTCCATGGTGTACATGAGCCCCACCACCACCACAGGCACACAAAATAGTAAACGTTAATTTTAAAAATTGAAGAGGCCAGGCTGGAGAGATGGCTCAACAGTTAAGAACCCCTGCTCTCACAAAGGACCTGGATTCAGTTCCCAGCACCCACATGGTGGCTAACAACCATGCGTAACTCCAGTTCCAGGGGATCCGACGCCCTCTTCTGCCCAGTGCACACATGTGATGCACTTACATACACTCATACATATAAACATTTTTAAAAATTAAAGTGCTAGAGAGATGGCTCACAGATAACACTGGCTTCTCTTGAAGAGAACCTAGGTTCAACTCCCAGCATCCACATCAGGCAGCTTACAACCATCTGTACCTCCAGTTCCAGGGAATCTGACCCTCTCTTCTGGCCTCTATGGACACTGCACATATGTGGTACATACAAAGACAAGCAGGCAAACATGCACATAAATAAAAATAAATTTTAATTAATTTTTTAAGCTGGACAGGCATGTATCCTAGAATGTGGAAGGCACTGGGTTTAACCTGTAGTATTGCCAGAGAAGATTCCATGGCTCTTTCCCAAAGGACAGTTTGTGAGGGATGAAGAGAAGATCCCTGGCTGAAGGGCACCTTCATGGGGGCTGTGCTTGGTGGTAGTGAGTTTACTGGGTTTGGAACACGGTGGTAAAAGTGGGCAGTGCTGTAGGAAAGGTAAGCTGGGGTCAGGTGGCCTGGCAGGCCGTTTGAACTTTACTCGCATGACTGGGAGGCCATGTGGGGCTTTAAACCTGCAGTAACTGCAGCAGATGCAGAAGGTGCAAGGCCTCGGGGCTCCAGGCCTGACTCCGGGCACTGTGTGCTCCTACACTTATTTCATGAAGTCCTGTGACATACAGATCCAGGGAAAGAATGGAGCCTAGGGAAGTCAACTGCCTTAAAGGAACTAAGAAAACTTCATTCTGAAACTCATACAGTAAAACTTCAAAGACAGCTAAGACAATTTGGAAGTGCTCAAACAGCACTACAGGGGGAGCCCTGTATCCTGTCACCAAGACTTAGTGCAGTGATGCACACCTGTAATCCCAGCACTCAGAGGTGGAGGCAGGAGGATCGAGCGTGCTCAAGGTTAGCCTCAGCCTTATAGGGCGTTCTTTCCCAGCCTGGGCTACATGAGAACCTCAGAAAATAGTATTTGGATTATAGGAAAAAATAAAATCACTCTCTCACACCATTCATGAAAATAAATTCACAAGTGTGAAAACTGAAGTCTAAGAGAAATAAGTAGCCCAGGTAACAACTCTGTAGCTAAGCCTGAGGAGTCTGACACGAGAATCTGCCCTCCCACCCACTGCCCATGCTCTCCTGGTCACCGCAGGCCAGAGGATGCAAAAACTGACTTAGGAAAGTGCTGAGTGAAGACTGAGTCTCCATATAACCCATGGGATCTCAATCAACAGGTGAGGCCTTTGGCTCTCTGTTACTGTAACAAATGTCCCAGGCAATCAATGTACAAAGAGAAAAGGTTTATTTTAGCACAGGGTCTTGGAAGGTTTTAGTCTGTGATCAGTTGTTCTTGTTGGCTTTTCTATTTGAGACAGGGACTCACTGTGTAGCCCTGGCTGGCCTAGAACTTACTATGTAGACCAGGCTGGCCTTGAACTCACAGAGAGAGCCTGCCTCTGCCTCCTGAGTGCTGAGATTGAAGTGTATGCCACGACACCTGGCTTGTTTGTTTCTGGGTTTTTATGGGGCTTTTGTTGTTGTTGTTGATTTGTTTAAGACAAGGTCTTAGTTTTTAGCCCAGGTTGGCTTCACAATGACTATGTAGCCCACCACAATCCTCCTGCCTTAGATTCCCAAGGCCTGAGATTTTTAGGTGTGAGGTGTGAGCCACCATGCCCAACCCTGTTGCTTTTAGACTCTGACAGACAGCATATCATGATGATAGCACATACAGAGGCAGAACTGCTCCTTGTGACCAGGGAGGAAAAAAGGAGGAAGAGGCTGTGTCCCCAGTGACCTGAACACCTCCCATAGTTCTAAATGATCCATCTCCCAACAGTATGAAACTGGAAACCAAGCCTTTAGAACCCAGGCCCTCTGGGACAGTTCAGATCCAATTGAGTAGGCACTGGTAACGCTCAGATCTTGACAGAGAGATGCCATCCAGCATTCAGTAGTCACTGACTGAGATGGTCACTACACTCAGATGTGACAAGGTTACATGCAAGATAGTAGCAATAACCAGGTATGGTGGCTCAGCCCTGTAAACCCAGCACTCCAGGAGGTAAAGGAAGGAGGATCTCAAGTTCGAGGCCAGCCTAGTCTACTCAGAGTTCCAGGTCAAGAGCTACATAGCAAGATCCCATTGAAAAAAAAAGTTTTTTTATAATAAATAATTACTCTTACTCTGGCTAACCGTTACTGGCCAGGCCCCATGTCCATTGGTCACTTACCATTAATTATTCCCTCTTCGTGGTCCTCGTGCCCTTCTGAAGTTTCCATCCAAATCCCAGCCCAGGCTAATCCGCCATTCTGTCCCCTCCTGTGTAAGAGCTGAGCCTGCCCAGAAACAATCATATACCACAGGGCCCCTCGCCTCAGCCTCCAGTGCTGCCCATCACTGATCAGTGCCTCCAGGCCAGTGGAAACTTGTCCATTCTCTGACCTTACTGCCCCCCCATATGTCACCCCATTTCGGGATCTTTTCCTACTGTACTTTCATAGTAAAGTTCTACCTCCTTTGAGTACCACCAGATACCATTAGTGAATTGACCCCTGCCCACTTTGCAAGACTAATGTCTTGTTGGGCACAGTGGCACACACTCAGGAGGAAGAGACAAGTGGATCTCTGTGAGATTGAGGCCAGCCTGCTCTACACAGCAAGTTCCAGGTCAGCTGGGGCTACAAGGAAACAATATCTCAAAACAAAACAGAACAAAACAAAATACACAGATGTCTGTCATTCCAGTACCTAGAACTTTCTGCAGTTCTCCAAGGGCATCATGCACCATCAGTGCTCCCAGTGGGAAAGGTCTCAGATCTTTGCCAAACTGCTCATGCCCCATTCTGAACATGCCTGGGAGAGCAGACTCTCTCTCTGTTCTTGGTACTCAGCTGAGTGTTGCAAAGCAAGTTCCCGAGACATTTGGGTTAGAGGAAACAAAACCAGATGGCATTGTGGAGACATGTACAGTGCAAGGAATGTGTGCTCAGTTACCCAGTCCTCTAAGGCCCCTGCCCACACACGTGCGCACACACACACACCCCTGAACTTGCCCAGAACCTTGGTGTAAATACAAGCTGCTCTGAGGAACCTGGGAGAAAAGTGTCTTACCTTTCAAACATGGAACACAGCTATAAGTTCCAAAGTCCTGTGCTACCTCTAATGTGTGTCAGTTCTGGACAGTTTTCAGTTAATCATTTTTAGTATGAGCTGGGGATTTTTCCTACTTCTTTGCAACACCCCTGGCTATTTATTTATTTATTTATTTATTTATTTATTTATTTATTTTTGAGACAAGGTCCTACTACATAGCCCTGACTGGCATAGAACTCTCTATGTAGAGCAGGCTGACCTTGAACTCATAGAGTTCCATCTGCCTCTGCCTTCTGATGGCTGGGATTAAAGATTCAGCCTAACTGGCACTCCAGGTATTTCTTAATAAAAAAATGTGTGTGGTCCTGAGGATGAAACACAGGACCTCAGACACACAAAGCAAGGACCCTATCCTGAGCTATAGCCCTAGTAGTCCCTAAGGATCCATTTTAGACAGATGTTGGCTCTAAATTTTCCCTGGCTGAGGACTGCATGTTTTTGCATTCCTGTGCATCTTACAGATTTGCCCTGGAATGCAGTTAAGTCACTTGAGAACAGCTCCATCTTCTAGGCACTGTTTTCATGGTTTGTTAGGTAACTCCGGAACAAATGAGAGAAGCATTAGAAATGGATGTACAAGACCACACTGACCACAGTGGTAAGAGCAGGACTAGGGGTGTCGCTTAGCACATCCGTGTCATGCAGTGCCTGCGGAGGACAGAAGAGACTGTCGGATCCCCTGGAACTGGAGTTACAGACAATTGTTAGCTGCCATGTGGGTGCTGGAATTCAAACCCAGGTCTTTTGCAAAAGCAGTCAGTATTCTTATCCACTGAGCCATCTCTCCAGCCCCCATAACTGAAAATTTTAAATGCAGCTCTGGAACCATCCTGGTTTACATAGTAAGTTCAGGCCAGCTGGGGGAACCTATCTCCAAAAAAAAAAAAAAAAAAAAAAAGAGGAAAAAGAAAAAGGGGCTGGAGTGTCAGCTCAGTGGTTAAAAGCACTGGCTGCTCTTGTAGAGGTTGCCAGCACCCATATGGTGGTTTACAACCAGCTGTAACTTCAGTTCCAGGGCATCTGATGCCCTCTTCTGGCCTCCATGGGCATCGCATGCACATAGTACACACGTATAGCAAAACACATATACACTAAAAATCTTTTTTCTTTTTTTCTTTTTTTTTTTTTTTTTTTGGTCTTTTTGAGTCAGGGTCTCCCTATAGCCCCAGCTGTCCTGGAAATTACTATGTAGATCAGGCTAGCCTTGAACTCACAGAGATCCTCGTGCCTCTGCCTCCCCAAGTGCTGGGATTAAAGGCATGCACCACCACGCCTGGCCGAAAATAAATCTTTTTTAAAAAGAAAAAAGAAGAGCCAAGTGGGGATGGCACATGCCTTAAATCCTTAAATCTCCTCGGGAGGCAGAGGCAGGTGCTGATGGAAGCCTGGGTGGGTGGTCCTGCTTAAGGAGTCAAGAAGTACCCTTGGATTTAGGGATTTCTTGTTTTGTTTCCCTCTGCCTTGTCTTCTCCAGTCAGGAGGCAGGTAGTGTCTGCAGAGGAGAGATCAAGGTTCCTATCTGCCCTGTGGTTCCCCATTGGGTCTGTCTCCCTGCCAGACCATCCTTCTTTACGAGTCCAGAGGAAACCCAGGTTGGTGCCTGGCCAGTTAGAAAGTGAGGGCTTAGCTCTGGGTATCGCACATCTGTCCCTGGAGGCTCTTCTCCAAGAATAGGGCATCGAGGACATCCCTTGTTACCACCTGATGACCCAGGAGGGCTCCTTTGGAGGCTTCCAACCCAGGCTGGAGTCTTTCAATCACTTGTGATTCTGGGGTGAAGAGGTCTAGCCCAAGACCATATACATATATACATATACTATAATGCACACTTAAGTGTAGTAATAAGAAAATACATAGCTGTGCATGGTGGCGCACTCCTGTAATCCCAGTACCCAGGAGGCAGAGGTAGGAGGATCACAGCGAGTGCAGTGCTGGTCTGAGCCAGATAAGAGTTCCAGGCTAGCCAAGGATGCACAGTGAGACCGTGTCACAAAGCTTTGCTGCATTCCATCAACCCTACTCAAACTTCTCCAGTGTGGCAGCTGAAATAATCAGATCATGAGAGCTGGGGCCCAGGCTTACCAAACTAACTGCTCGCGGCCCAAGCGGGTCGCACCCCACTGCTGCACCTGAATCCCCTAAACCGGAAGGCGGCGAACAGCAGGAGCTTAACACTCAGGATGTGCTGGGCTCCGTTTCTCGCCATCTTTGCAGCCTCAGGACAACCTGCTCTACAGACGTTGGGATGCAAAAGCCAGGCCGCACCTGAGCCCCCAGCCCTGTCTTCCCGAACGCGCTGGGGACTACAGAAGGGGCCCGGGGGCTGCCGGGAATGCGCGCGGCCCCGCCCCGCCCCGCCCGCGTCGGCCCTTCCCCGTCCACCTCCGCCTAGTCCGTCCGCCCCGCTGCGCGGCCCTCGGCCGCCCCCTGCCGCCGTGGCGTGGACCCTGCAGGCGCGGCAGGCCCCGCCTATCTCCACGCCCCCAGCCGCCGGATTGGCCATTCCGCAAGACTCGGGCCTCCCGCCGCCGGATTGGCTGCGCAGAGGGCAGAGGCCCCGCCCCTTCCCCGGGTCTTTTGATCACGCGTCGGAGGGCTCTTCCGGGGGCCCGGAGCCAACCCAGGGCGTTGCTGACTGTCAGGGCTGCACGGCGGGAGGTAAGGCATGGCCGGACTGGACGGGCTGCAGCGCTCCGGCCTCCGACCAGCTCGGGATGCCGGGATTGCAGGGCACTCGGGTGGGGAGCGGCCCTCCTCCCCGGCGCCACCAGTGCCCCTCCTCGGCCTCCCCCGTGCCTTGGGGAGCCACCTCCCGCCCGCCGCGGCTGGCCCCATCCTAAGCCCTTCCTGGCCTGCCCCCTCGGCCTGGGATGATGAGCTACGACTGGGTTCGGCCAAACTGGTGTCCACGGACATCGGGCAGTTAGCCTGTACCCCGTCCTCTGATTCACAGCCCGAGGCAGGAACTTGGGCCATCTCAGTGACGCCGCCCCAGGATGGTCTTGGCTTCTGTTTATGGGTGCCGGTCCTCTCCACCTCCGCCTGTCAGCCCCTGACCAAGAGGGGAGGGGACATGGGCGGAGCCCCGGGTGCGCCGTGGCTGGCGACATCATCTGGAAGATTGTCCAGCTCTACCCACTGTGTCCACAGTGGCACCTGCTATTGATGCTGAGGGCCGTTTCTGGCGTTACACCGTGGTCCAGGCCTGGGATGGCTAGCCTGCAGTGTGAGGACTGGATCAGGACTCTTGCAAATGCTCCCACCTCACCCCTAGGCTGCAGTGTAGGATCCTCCTGTTTACACCCCTCCGTTTAGCCCTGCTGCACCTAACCTCCCTTCTCCGCCAGCAGCATCTGAGACCTGCAGATGTTGAGCCTGCATCTGAGCTGGGCCCAACCTTGATCTGGGTGTAGGCACTAAGCAGGAAGCAAGCCTGGATCTGTGCCAGGGGTTGCTAAGAACTGTTGGAGGGTTACAACAACACACCATGGTTACCTGGTGGGTGCGGCCTCTCAGGGTTTGGCCTGGAGTTTTCCTGGATCTCCAGCTCTTGGGGAGGGAATTCAGAGTCTGCATGTCACTGTAGGTACAGGGATAACTTCCCTTCCTCCTCCCCAGGGAGCCCAGGGGAGGCACCCTCCCGAGGCCACCACTGCCCATGCGGACCACCCAGCCATCCGGCTACTGATGTCATGAGTAACACGACAGTGCCCAATGCCCCCCAGGCCAACAGCGACTCCATGGTGGGCTATGTGTTGGGGCCTTTCTTCCTCATCACCCTGGTCGGGGTGGTGGTGGCTGTGGTAAGGAGCCCTCACATACACACATACTTGGCTAAGGCAGCCACTGGGTGGGCCTGATCGGTGCCCATAGCCTCTTAGCTGTCCTTTAAGGGTATGGAAGTGGGTTCTCTCATTGTGGATCATCCTGGCCTCCCCAGCCTCCACAGCCCTCTGTCTCTGTTACAGGTAATGTATGTTCAGAAGAAAAAGCGGTGAGTGTCCTTGCCCCCACGTGCTCTGCCCTCTGTACCCTGGCTGAATTTGTTTTCCTTATCCAGGCCCCCATTAGTCTGTTTGTGGCCCTCTATGGTGTCCCTGGCCTGAGGGAGGGGAGTAGAGACCAGGTCATTAGGTATCTGATGGGGCAGAGGTAGAGCTTGGGCTGAGCCCTGCCTTTCCATGCCCCAGGGTGGACAGGCTTCGCCATCACCTGCTCCCCATGTACAGCTATGACCCTGCAGAAGAGCTCCATGAGGCTGAACAGGAGCTACTGTCTGACGTGGGAGACCCCAAGGTGAGCATTCTGGGGTGGTGGAAATCAAGCACCAGCTTTTCCCACTGCTAAAACCAGAGCCTGTTCCACCCTCATCACCTGATCTGTGATGCACTCCCCCACACCTATATCTCCCCACCACGTGGTATCTTCCTCCATAGGTGGTACGTGGCTGGCAAAGTGGCTACCAGCACAAGCGGATACCCTTGCTGGACGTCAAAACGTGACCTAAACCCCTTGCCCTGCTGAGCCTTGAGGGCCCTACAGTCTGCTTAGCCCTCCCACTTGCCACCCACCCAGCCGGGCAGAGGATTCTCTCTCCTCTTGCCTCCTGATGGCATCCTCAGCTGGCCCTGAGCCAAGCCTATCAGGTAGTGATGGGCCTTTTCTTGTGGAGTGGGTGGGTGGCTGGGTGACAGCTTTGCTTTCTCTAGCCTGCCTGGACTTGGCTTTGGCATAATCCTCAAGAGGCCTCTGGAGTTGTTTCCATGGTGACAGGCCCAGATGTATAGTATTCAGTATATATATTTTGTAAATAAACGGTTTTGTGGCTTCAAGGGCGGTTCATTACCCCACCACATCCAACCCTTTCTCCTGCATAGGGCAAGATTCCTACTAGTACACCTCACCACCACCACCCCCAAACCAGTCTGGGGACACACAGCAGAAATTCAGTCCAGAAAAGGCTATTTTTTTTATTCAAGTAACTGCAAATAGGAAACCAGAGGGGGAACCCCAGGCTGGGACCAACAGCCACCACCCCACCCCAGAAGCAGGGGAGGTGACTTCTACACCCTTTCCAATCAGAATGGGTCCCCCTCCTCACTCTGCTGCAGCATCCAAGGGGTAAGGCCCCACTTTCCCTGGGGTGGTCAGTAACCCGGCCTGCTGTGCCCCCCTTCCCCTAGTGTATCTGAGGGGAGGAGAATGCAGGGGAGGGGGTGAGGATGAACGTTTGGCGCTGGTAGCAGCAATGGTGGGTGTCTAAGAATGAACATTGAACAAAAAACAAACACAACTGTCCAGAGGTAGTTTGTGAACAGAGGAAAAGATGAACCAGAACCTTGGGGGGTGGGGAGGGGGGCAGGGCTAGCTCTGTTAGTGCCCCACTGGAGGGAAGGGAGCCTCCCAGCCTGTCTCAGGTCCATCTGTCACTTAGCTAGGTACCAGATCCCAGGTAAGGGCATGATGGGTGCAGCCCACACCTGCCACACTACTTCCTATAGCCCAAGGTGCTCGTCCCACCTAGTGCGGGAACTAGGTAAGGTGGGGTGGAAGTGGCTGACAGTCCCACTGGTGACAGTTTGGTTGGGGGCATCCTGGGACCTAAGCATGCCCTGCACTGGCTGTACCTGCTGTTGTGGCCAGCTCAGCCAATGGGTCTTGTGAGAATGAGATGGGGCTGGGGCCCCTTAAGGCCAGGGGGTGCTCCCAGGAACAGCAGGAGGGCAGAAGGGGCCCCCAAACCAAGAGCCCAAGGGAGGAATGCAGCAGGACAGGCTGCGGCTACATGGGATGTTAGCCTTGTCGGGAAGAGGGCAAGTGTGCTTGTGGGGAGGGCACCAGACTAAGCCAGAAGACCTGCTCCCCAGGAGCACAGGGGTGGGGAGGTGCCGCAGAGCCTGCAGCTGGTGTGGTAGTGTGCGGTGGGGGCAGGAAGGGGCCTGGGATCCGAGCGTCCAGTCCCAGGGGAAAGCTGCTCCTTGCTGGCCAGGGAGCAGGCGGCACTGCACGGTCACTGCTCCTCCTCTGAGGATTCCTGTGAGATGCCTTCTTCTTCCTCCTTCTCCTGTGGGGTAAGAGCAGCTCTGGGCCTGGCCCTCCTCCACCCACTGCCCCCCTGCACTCCCAGGCTCACCAGAAGGAGGATGAGTCAGGGCTGAGTGTGTGGGTGACTCAGCAGCCTCCACGCTGCTTTCATTCATAAAAAGGATTTAAATGGAAGAAAACCCCACACACACAGCTCTCACACAGCTTGGCCCAGGCCCCTGGCCCAGGCCCCCGCGGAAGTGGCAGGCTCTCTAGGGAGGCGACAAGAGAGGCAAACAGGGAGGTCCTAGGTGGGCAGGTGGTGACAAGCAGGCCTGGGGTGGCCCAGGACTGACCCTGTGAGCCCAGTGGGGTGGGGAGAAAAGTGTATGTGGCAGGGGCTCGCTCACTCACTGGGCGGGAATGTTGGGATACCACAGGGCCCCACAGCCCCTGTGCCAGGCAAACTCCAAAACAACTTGTTTCCTGTTACTCACCCCGGGGGCCCAGCCAGCATCGCCCCTAACCCCTCCACCAAGTACTGGCTCATGGAATGAAGGGAAGGGTGATGAAAGGGCCAGGAGCACAGCAGGAGATTGCTGCAGACCCAGGCTATTATTAGGGGCAAGCTTCCCACCTCCCCACCAGGGGTGGTGGGGACCACACTATGTTCCAGCCCCCTGCCACCCCTTGAGGACCCTAGATACCTCACTACTTCCCTTCAGAGAGAAGACAATTTTGACCAGGTAAGACCTTGCCCAGACCTCCTGCCCTTCCTTCCATGACAGGCACATCCTGTTCCTTTCTTGAGACAGGGTCTTATGTAGCAGAGGATGACCTTGAATCCCTGATCCTCCTGGCAACCCCCACCCCCAAGGCAAGTAGGAAGAACACCTACCAGTTTTTTGGGTCTGCCCCTTGGTTTCCTTCCTGGAGCTGTGGTCGTTTTCTAGAAGGTCAGAGACAACATACCCAAAGTTTACAGTGTTGAACACCAAAGTCCCATGTGTGGGAGGTATGGGACTGGCTACCTACTTCTGCTCAGGGCAGCCCAGAACCCCTACACCAGCAGGCCCCAGTCCAGGTGCTGATGACTGGCCAGCCACACTTGCCCCCCACCCAACATACATACACACCAACCCCCCTACTCCCCAGTGACTCAGAGGATGTGAGTCGTATCTTTAAAAAAGTAAAAAACAAGACAACTTTCACTGTGACTTGGGCCCTCCTGGCTTGTCTCACCCCTCCAGGCCCTAGGGACCCCCAGGCCTATGAAGGTGACTGATGGTTCTCAGCCTGGAGCTGGTCACGGTCATTTACTATCCCCACCTTCCTGTCTGACCAGGGAAGCTTTCTAACCTGGTTTCCCTATTGTTGTAGACAGGACCAAAGCTCTAAAATTCAGACCTCATTACCCCAATTTCCACTTAGCAGAGACCTACAGCAACCCCTCCATCACCCACTCAGTGAGGCCTTGTGCCGTCGAGCCTCACCCGGGTCTTGGTGGCGCCCTTATTTTTGCTCCCCTTTGGTCGGCCCCGAGGTCTCTTAGGGGTCGGCACTTCGCTGGGCTCCTTCTGCAAAGACACATGAGTGCACAGGCGTAAGCAAGGACTCTGGGCCTGCCTGACCATCAGGGTCAAGACCCTCTTACAATTCCCTTAGGTCTGAAAAACACTGCTAGGTGGCCCTGCTCAAACCCCGATTCTGCTTCATTCTTGTGCAAAGTCCTTAATACCTCAGTTCCCTAACCTGTAGATGGTGAAAGACTTAGCACCTGGCAGTTGTCACAGAAGTTAGATTAACCGAGCTGCCCATGCCCTCACATGTCCTACACTGGAGGACGGCCCCCCAGGAGATAAATGCTCCCAGATCTTAGCTGTACTTCGCTGCTGGCCTTTTCATTAGTCCTGGTCAGAAGAGTTCTGAAACACTGTACACAAGGTCACACTTGTAATCTCAGCACCTGGGAGGCTGAGGCGAGGAGCTGAAGGCCAGCCTGGGCTACAATGTGAGATAGTGTCTCAGGACCAAAAGCCTCATTACAAAAGGGACCTGGGCAACAGAGGCACACTAGCCTTCAGGCAGGGGTGGGTGGGCAGCACAGGGTGCTGGGTACAGGTGCTAAGTAAGTCCCCTACCCTTGATCTGGAGGCAGCAGCTCAATTCCACCACCCATCAAATTTCTGTAGCTGAAGACTCAAACCTGGTGGGGACACATCCTGTACCTCCACAGGGGTACCAACAGACACCTACTTAGGTCAACAATATAGAGCAGAGCTGAGAGACCATGTCTGTTAGCCCACACTCCCCAGGATGCCTCGGTGGCAGCCACCCCATCCCACCCCCAGGAGACCTTGAGGGGCTTCAATGTCCATTTACAGAGCAAGGGGAACGAACAGACGACTTGGACTACAAACTCGCAGGACTACTCTAACACACACTGGCCCAGAAACACTTTCCAGGACATAGGGTCACACTAAATGGTCAATTAATATGGGAAACACTGGCAGTCACTCAACGAGAGTCATGTGTGTTTAAGGCTGGGTACAGCTATAGGTCAACGGGAACGTACTCGCCTACCTCGCCTTAGGGCCTCGGATTCATCCTGCACACAGCAACAAAAAAGTTGAAGACTTTGAGACAGGGTTCCCGCCTTCCTCGAACTCCTGATCCTGCCTCCAAATGCTGGATCACAGGCCTGCACCCCATACCTGGCTCTACTGTGATTCTGGCTAGCAGGAGAGTGGATGGCTACCACCATGAACACCAGGCCCTTGCTGGGTTTCAGAACCCACCTTGAACACCCATTTTTGCTGAGCATGGAGTGGGAGGACACATGCACTTCTGAGAACAGCTCTGTGCCCCTCCATGCTTATCCACACCCTGAGGTACCATGCACCTCCCTAGCCCAAAAGGGTGAAATGGAGGCAAGGCTCTTGACACGCACCTGACTCCCTACCAGCGCTGTCCCAGGACTCACCGGAGGCTGCTTGCGTGGCCTGCCCCGGCCTCGCTTCTCGGTTCCATCCTTTTCTTGCTTAGAGGCCAAGGGCTGGCTGGACTTCGAGCCTGACTCGCTCATCTTCCTCCTCTCTATGGAGCTGGTGAGGAGTGGCAGCTGGGATGCTGGGAGAAAAAAAACAAACGGTGGGGTCAGTTAAAACAAGGTGCTTTGGCTACTTCCTACCCCTTACTACCCCCAGCAACAGGGCAGTGGTACCAGGAAGCCCCCTCCAGGACGGAGGGAGTTCTAACCACCTCCAGCATACTGCCAGGGTGGGGCAGGGCCGTTGGCTCTAATCACTTCCTCATATTTCAGTAGGACTCTTTGTTATGCTGTCCAGGCCTGGGGTACACAGGTGAGGCAGCCATGGGGCAAATTGAGAGGGGTCTGTCCCATACTATGAACACCCCATCCATCAGCTACTGCCTCTGGCATTTAAGCCCTTCCAGGCATCCAGAGAGGACAACTAGCATGTACAAGCCTGACAACCCAACAAAGGTCCAAAGCCATCACACTCGCGGGCCTCTGCTGAGCACATTCCTAAATCCAAAGATGGGGACAATGAAAAGGAGCTGTGGGTGCCCTTGGCCAAGTTGGGGCCACATGGGAGACAGGGAGGCCTTACCCTAAAAGCTTCCAGACCCCCTAACTCCAGAGCTAGGTGAATCCTCCTTAATATCTTTGTGGGATCCAGGGCTGTATAGAGGGCCTGTAACCTGTACTTAGGGACCGTTCAACAGTCTGTCCATCTCCATCAGTGAAAAGGTGGGGGGACAAGACAGCCTGCCTCAATGCCCCCTCCAGATCCTCTTAAAGAAACTCACATGCAAATGGGGCCCAACCACTGCAAGGTAACTTTCTTCCCCTTTTCAGACTTTTGAGGCAATTGCTAATTTCAGCCCAATGACAGACACACATTTTTTGGGAAACGTGATTTTTAAAAGTCTTAAAAGGCACCTAATTTTCATGCATCTAGGGACCCTCCAGTCAACTGGCCTTTGGTAATTATTCTATTACAGTATTTCAGACTTAAGAGACCCCTTAAACAGGGTAGCTGGCAACTGGGCCTGTTCAGTCATTAGTGGCTTGGTCTGTTCTCTAATTACAGGCAGGAATGATTAGACTCTTTCACTACACCACAGGTCCCCTTCAAACCAAACATCAAAATTAATCAACTAAATGAGTACTGACCTCACATTGAGTTCTGTTGGGGGCCCTTGTGAGGTGGCTCATGGGGGGTGGGGAGAAGACCCAATCCCAGAGAACATGTGCTCAGCATGCCTGGGGCTCCTGGCCAATCTCCCTAGAAAGTGTTAGGCCATCTGGTGCCTCCCCCGCTACTTCTTGCTCTTAGGGACCCCCTTTAATCCACCTGCTCCTCTCCTCTCAGCTGAGACCCCACCAACTGAATGAAGGTCTTGTCCAGTTGAGGCCTAGAAAATGCTCCTTCCCCTCTTCCAACCTGTTTCAGAAGGTCAGAGGGGCCTACCTTTGGAAGCTACATTTAGGGCCCAAAACCCACTAACAGCTGGGCCTCCAACCTGGCTCCTCACACGTTACTGACAATGTGGCCCTCCAAAGCCTAAGGAATTCTGCAGGAATGACCGCAGGAAAGATATTCTGGCAGCTCCTCTTTTTTTTGTTTAAAAAGTAGCTCAGAGAAGGCTGATGAGTGGCCCAAGGTCACACAGCAGCCTGATCTTAAAGATGGAGGTTCCTGGGTACTCCTCCTGCAAGCCGCCCCTTACTATAGTCCCAGGAGGACTCTGTGTCAGGGTCCGAGCCTGGCGGTTACAGGCCGGTATCTGGAAGCTAGAACGAGGGGGGAGGGGCGCAGGCCCCGTAGGCGCGGGAAACAGCGCACCCGGACCACATGCACCACCACGCGGGTGCGCCCGGCCCTACTTCCTGCCAGAGGGGGCACCCAAGCCCGCCTTGGAGCCATGAAACCTGGTGCGCGTTCGAAGAAGAACCCCCCTCTTCCTCCCCAAAAAATAAAACCCCAGTTTAAAGGAAAATGAAAAAACAGAAACGGGGAGTCCAGGGGACTAGTTCCGACAGAACCCAGCAAAGCAGAGAAACCAGTTTGTGGGGGCGGAGGGCAGGCCGGGCCCCGGGGGCACAAGAGGCGCACAGGCAGGGCCAGAGGTGGGGTTCTGGGTGCAGCACCCCGAAACCCAGGCCCCAACCAGCCGGCCTCGTCTACCGAGGAGCCAAGCCCAAGGCCGAGCAGGGCCAGAGCGGAATGTCGGGGAGGGGGGGCCCGGGCCCTCCGCCTGAGTTCTAGAACTTCCCCGAGCTGCGGGGGGGCGCACCCCCACCGCCCAGCGCGCCGCAGCCCGCTCCCCTCCCTTCTCCGGCCGCGCTCCCCGGGAGCGGCCTCGGCGAGCGCGAGGTGCACGGGCTCCGCCGGGTGCACAAGTCGCGCTCGCCGCAGCCGCGCGCCCCCTCCCCCACCGTGCGCCTTCGCGGGGTCCCAGCAGCCCCTCGGCGATGCGCCCTCGGGCCCGGGTCGCGAGATCGCGGCCGTCCTTCCCGCGGGCTCTGCCGGCCGTCCCCGAGCCCCCGTGCGGCCTCCCCAACCCCCGCGGCCCGCACAGCCCGGGGCCTGGGAATAAAGGCGGGCGGCGCGCGCTGCAGCCCCGGGGCGGCGAGCGGAGAGCGCGGGGAGGCTCCCTCTCCACCCCCGGGTGTACGGCCGCTGCCGCGGAGCCCCAAGAACTACTCACCGCGCGCTCGGACGCCGGCCTGCGGTGCGCGCTCGCGGCTGCCGGGAGCGACGGTGCTGGACGCAGAGGACCGGCCTGGCTCTGCCGCCGCCGCCGCTGGTCGCGAATGCGGATCTGAAACCGGGAGAGAGGGCAGAGGCGCTGAGACCCACGCCGCGTGCTCGCCGCCCAGGCCCCCACTGGGTATATATGTCACAGCTTCCAGCCGGGGGTGGGGGTGGTGGGGAGCGACACAGAACGATCCCCACCTCCCCCGGAGGATGGCGAGGGGCAGGAAGCTGGGCACGGCCCGTGCACGGCCTCAATAAATAAATAATTTAATTAAATTAAGGATATGGGGGGAGAAGAAGCCACCGGAGCAGCGCCGAACTCACGCCTTCTTGGAGTTGCGCCAGCGCCAGAAATAGCCCCGGCTCGGAGTCCCAATTAGAGGAGCGCAGCCCCGGCTCAGGGGAGCTTAAAAAGAGCGACCCAGGGGCAGGGGGGACGGGCCCGCCCGCGCCAGCCTTGTCACCGGGGGGCGGGGCCATGCAAATGAACCCGGGGATTTAAAAGGGCGGCCGCCCGCCGGTCGCCGCCGCGCGTGGAGAGTGCAGACGATGGGGAGGCCGCACGCGAGGCCTGCGCGGGTACGCGCGCCGACGGCCCACTCCGCAGTAGTCCCCCTGGTGGGCATTCGGGGAGCCTGCGCAGTGGAGATGCTCGCCCAGCACCTGAGGTCTTTTCCCGGGGACACACCTCGAGGGACCTTGAGGGCTGCGGGGGCACGTGGGCCAGCCCCTCTCCGCAGGCCGCATGTGGGAGGTCCGTGTCCGTGGGTTGTCCACGCGCGGGCGCGCCAGGTGCACCCTTCTGAGGCCTACATAGACGCCTCCTTAGCTCATCTAGACGGCGCTCTTTGATCTCGCCCCTAGGCACGCAGGTGACAGCCACGCGCATCTCACGTCCCACCTGTAAGAGGCTGCGCCCGCTTGGACACAGGTCGAGAAAGTTGAGCAAATCCCAAAGGTTTAAACATGCTAACAGCCATCCACCCAGGTGTAGTGTTTGAGCGAGGCGCACGATGATTGGCTCGTTCGCAGGTACAAACCGGAGGGAGGAGCCTGGAGGTGACCCGGGGTGTTTGGGATGCACGTGGTCCCACTCTGGTCCTGGCATCCCCCCACCCCCCGCTCGGAAGTGACTTATTGAAATGGCTCCAGGTGGGCCGCAAGCCTCCAGGAAGCGCCCTGAGGGCAGGGGCCGAGTTTTCGCGCGCTAGGCCTGGCCCAACAAAGACTTGTTGCATGCACGCCCGAAGGAGGAAGCCAAAGTGGGAAGATGGCGCGCAGGGCAGGGCGGTGGGGAGGGGCGCGCCCTGCAGGCCCTTTGCGCACCTCCCCGCGCCCGGTCCCAGGGGAAGCCTTCCACACCTCCCGTGATGCAGGGAATTGCAATGCGCGCCCGGTGACACACCACTGTGACTCACATTTTTGCTCCCCTTCTTCCTCCCCGGTCAGCCGAGGCCGGGGCCCAGCCCCCTCCTCGAGGGGCGTGAGGGCGGTGGAGGGGGGACGTGGGGCCCGGCTGGAGGCGGGGTGAGAGCTGGGGAGGGGGGGCGTGCCTCCGAGTTTCAGGAATGCCTCAGGAATGTTTCCGGTGGGGGTGGGGAGCACGGGCCGCGGGATGGCGCCCTGGGCTCGGGGCAGCACGTGCTCGCGGTGGGGGCGGGGCGCGGCAGGAAGGCGCGGGAGGTCTGGGTTGGCTGTGGGCCCGGAGCCGCTTCCCCACCCAGGTCCAGGTGACCCTCAGCTCCTGACTAGTCACCGGGGCCGACCCTCCGTGACTTCCTCTCTCAGGCCTGGGTGGAGGGCGAGTCGCAGACGCCCGGGCAGCCTGGGGGAGGGGCGGCTGCCCCTTTGTCTGCAGCCGCGGTGGGGGCGGGGCGGGGTGGAATCGCGCTGCGCCCTTCTCCATCTTTGTGCCCCGGGAGCGGAGTTGGCTGAAGGGGCACCAAGTTACTACGAGCTCGGGGACCTTCCCAGGGATGAGTGGAGGAGTGAGGCTTCCTCGCCCACCAGCCCATCTCCCCATTTTACAGGCCTCTGCCACCAGCCCATCTCCCCATCGTACAGGCCTCTGCCACCAGCCCATCTCCCCACCGCCCTTTGCCAGCAGCCTAGGCCTCCACAGCCGCATGCCTTCCTCAGCCCTGGACAGGCCACCAGGCCCTGGCTGTGGCGTTCGAGATGTGGAAAGGGTCCCTTTGCCCCCAAGGTAGGTGTGACCCTTCCTCCTGGAAAGCCTGTAACATGTTGGCCATCCTTGAAGGGGTTTTGAGAAAACTTAGCGAACTTCTTGGACCTCTTGTAGGGATCTGGCGTGATCTAATTTTCTACTCTTTATTTTCACTTTGTCCTGATTTCCTCACCCACTTGTTTTTTTCTTTTTTTTTTTTTGTAAGCCACCTCAAACCCTCTCTGAGAGAAGCAGGTATAAATAAATTCCTAGGCAAATATAGTGCCTTGTCCACCTGGCCTACCCACACCCTTTGAAATACAACTATCCACTGACCCTGTACACAGAACTCCATTCTCTACGGTTGCACATGCCCTGGGTCACTTTATTTCGTTTCGTAGGCATGACTTCTAAGCGGAAGGGAGGGAGTGAAATGGTAGGAAGTCCATAGCAGGACAAAGACACTGCCTCACCTTTCGGGAACACGCATGAGGTTGAAAACCTTGTGAGTACAAGGTTTCGATGTGCAGTGCGTGAACAAAGTTCTGTGCACGTTGACCGTTTGGGACTGGGGGTGGGGTGGTTTTGTCTTTTTGAAGCAGGGTCTCCCTGTAGCCCCAGCTGGCCTGGAACTCACTATGTAGACCAGGCTGGCCTTGAACTCACAGAGATCCGCCGGCCTCTGCTCCCAAGCCCTGGGACTATAGGCGTGTGCTACCACGCCCGGCTTGGCGGTAGGTGTTTGAAGACTGAAGTGGATCCTACAGGGAGCGGTCAGAGAGGCGCTGGTGAGAGGCTTGAGCAGGCCCTCCTGGGATTTGGTGTGTGAGTGGACACCAGGCATGGGGAGGGAGCCATTGTAGGCTTACAGTTTCCTCGGGATAATGTAGTGATGCCTCAACAGGGGTGTCCAGGAAGCAAGGTCAGGTCAGCTGTGTTCCAGGACAGCTGACTCTTGGGTTCATCAGTTAGAATACATGACAGCGCTGGCATGGATAGTTCCATCTAGTTTGTGGCCAGTCCTTGGAAGGGCACTGTGGTAGAGCATGCTGATTCTGTGTGTGGGGCCATCTTTTACCAGATGGAGGGGTAAAAGATAATTGTCTAACCTGTTCAAAGCAGGATACTTTTAAAAGGTATGGCTCAATAGTATGTATGCCTGGGGTTTGATTCCTACACTTTAAAAAAAAACAAACAACCTGAGCATGGTGGGACCTACTCAAAGAGAAAACTCCTTAAGTGTTCTGCCGAGTGATTTTTACAGAGTGAACCCTTACTGTGTCACTTGCAGCTAGAGCAGTAAACAAGTCTGGCTAGGTGTGATGGTGCACACCTTTAATCCCAGCAGTTGGGAGGCAGGGGCAGGCAGAGCTCTGTGAGTTCGGGGCCAGCTTGGTCTACATAGAAAGTTTCAGGTTAGCTGGAGAGAGAGGCTCTGTCTCAAAAAAAGGTGATGGGGGGCATCTGGATAGTTACTGGTTTGGGATATTGCAGAGTGCTGCCATGCATGTTTTGCAATGTTTTGGGGAGAGATCTGCAAATTTCTGTTGGGTGCTTGCCTGGGAGAGGAATTGCTAGATCACAGGAGATGTGTGCTGGGCTTCAGCAGACACATGGGACACTGCAGAGGGACACAGACACTATTAATAGCTTTGAGTAGACAACGGGCATCAACCTGACCTGACTCAAACCAGCCAGGACTGACCCACACCAGCCACAGGAAGGGTTACCCTGGCACACAATCCTGGCTCTGCTCCTGCCCATACTAACCAGGACCCATGCCATGACAGCCAGTAACAGGGCCACCCTGGCACAAGGCTCTTGCCCACTGTCTGATAGAGTCACCCAGCTCCAGTGCATCTGGTCCTCTGGCAGGCTCTGGCCTCCAGGCCCTGCTGACCACAAGCTCTGCTGCCAGGAAGCCTGGCAGGCTACGTTGGGAGGAGGGCCTCTTCCTGTTCCAACTTTCGAGGGAAAAACTGTCAAGTGAAAGGAGGTAGCTCATCTCTGCCTCTCTGCTATGGGCTATACCCACAATCTCCTACACACACATGCACACACACGTATACGCACATGCACACACGGCTGGCTGGATCCCCAGCAAACGCAGCCTATTCCGATACAGAACGTATGTTGTTTTCTCCTAGCAGTGAGTGGTGTTCCTCCCCCAGACCTATAGATCTAGGTTGCTTTCTCTTTCCACGCCTTCCTGTACCTCCTAGCCCGGCTACATAAATCCCTCCAGCCATCAGCAGCAGCAGCACCAGCCTCAGGGAACTCCATTCCTGTCCTCAAGGGGTTTACATTGGGTGGATGGGTAGGGGGACAAGACAGGTACACAGGCAATCCCAGCACACTGGAGAGGCACAGGGCGGGGACCTAGGACCTGGGTAGGGTGTCCAGAAGGCAGAGGAAGCAGGCAGGTACAGACAAGATGTCTGCCAAGGGGACAGACATGGTAGGCTGGCATTCAGCCCCGTTCTCCCCACACCTTTGAAGCTACTGCTTTGGATGTGAGTTAAGTCTCAACAAAGAGAGACACTTAGATGGGGAAATGAGGGGAGGGGATTCTGTTCTGTAGCTGAGCTGTGGAGACATGGGGTTCTGCAGGATCCCCACTCCAATTAACCAGTGTTGTGGGGTCAGGATGTAGGTAGGCATGATGGCCACCAGCTCTCCTATCCCTGACCAAAGTCCTACCATTCTAATGGGACCTCCTACCTCCCTGCCCCAGGATCTGGCTCCTCCAGTTTTCCAACAGTTTTGTAAAGCACCTATGCTAAATCTCTTCCTACCTGAAATGCAAAGCCATTCTCTGCTCAAAACCCCTGGGGGGAAAGGGGAAGGAAGCCTCTAGAGAAGGCTCTCATCCCAGACCAAAACCAGTGTTCTTACAAAGGCCGGCAAAGTCAGGTAATTGCCCTGTCCCATCAGACCTGCCAGTCTGGTGCTCACCTCAGGGCCTTTGCACTGGCTCTTCTCACTGTCATGTGCTTCAGGGCTTGCCTGCTCACTGCTTTTGGGTTTCTGACCAGCACAGTTTGTCTATACTGATTATGCCCCTGTTGTTCCCTGTTCCCTCCCTCCATCTCTCCTTTCATATATTTTTGTCTATAAGACATGATTTTTTTAAAGATCTGTGTGTGTGTGTGTGTGTGAGAGAGAGAGAGAGAGAGAGAGAGAGAGAGAGAGACACGTGTGAGTGCCCAATGAAGCCAGAAGAAGGTATTGGATCCCCTGGAGCTGTAGTTACAGGTGGTCGTGAGCCACCTGACATGGGGGCAGGGTATCGATCTCAGGTCCT